ACAGCTAGCTCGATACAGTAATGGACATGGAACGCCTTCGCTCGCTAAATCGATCGATTCGAATGTCGATAATGTTCACGATAGTTCGCTTCGGATTCCCTAACTCAACGTTCGTCAGATACAGTAGTATAGGAGCGATTATCCAACCACACCACATATGACAAGATTTTCACACCAGATCGTCTCGACAATCCAGGCGTACATATATAAGGTCCAAAAGGAATAGAATAGATGAAAGGTACATTATATGTAATCCGCCTTTTCGGATCGACCGCAACCCCCACCACCCAATCTCATTCCAATCATCATCCACTTATCATTCAAGACCCACTTGTCATCCAACCAGCATCATATATTTCTCACAAGACAATGATCGTGGCACTCAAACACAAGCAAACATGGCATCAGTTCACTTCACAAAAAAAGCCTCACAAGTGTAAACGCCAGCATGCAACCTAGCCAGCTAAGGTCTTCCATTGATGCTCGCCATCTCATATGTGTCCTCGCTCAACCGGCATCATCCACTTCTCGTTTATGGATTCATTCTCTTTTCATTCGAGATCTACCAATCGTACAATCAGTATCACACACTTCTCTTTTCAAGTCGTCACACACCATTGATCGCGGCAATCAACACGAATATAGAAAAGAGCTCACTCACAAGTACAAACGCCTGAATGGGGCCCAAATCAAACAAATGTTTCCTCGGACGATTCGAGAAAGTCTTTGGAAGATCCGAGGAGAGCAGTCGAGTACATCGCTTCTCCCTTTGCCGATGCACACAAGATCAAAGTTCGAACGCATTTACCGAACAATCGATACATCATCAGCCGGAATGGTGCACTTGCCATCGCCATTACTCAACGGTTCCAGAATTTAATTCACAAACAACTTTCATGGTCAAGGGGCATTACTTGATCATCAATCAAAATGGCGACATGATCACCCTTGCAAGCAACATCTTACACGACACTTGCTTTCTCACCCTTACGCCATCCTTTCTTGGGATCAAAGAACTCGTTCTTTGCTATTCTCCCTCCTCCTCTCACACATCCTGAAGCAATATCTTGCTTTGCAACTGCATAAAAACAGAAGGAAAAAAGAAGAAGAAAAAGAAAGAAGGAAAGAAAAAAAAAAAGAATAGAAGATCAAAAAAGAAAGATAAAAAGACAGAAAAGATCAATAAAAAATCAAAAGAAAAATCAAAGAAAAGATCTACTTCTCATTTGAGAATCACTTCATATCCAGCCAATATTACCTACTTCTCGTTCCATATAATCTCTACCACCAACACTCACTTCTCTTCCTGCAACCGTCATCCACTTCTCTTCCCGCAATCATCATCCACTTCTCATTCCAATCATCATCCACTTCTCATTCCAATCGACATCCACTTGACATTTAAGATCCACCTGTCATTCAGGATCCAGTTGTCATTCAGTCACCATCACAAATTTCTCACAAGACAATGATTGTGGCACTCAAATACAAGCAAACATAGCATCACTTCACATCACAAAAAAGGCTCGCAAGTACAAACGCCGGCATGCATCCCTAACCAAGCAAGGTCTTCCATTGATGCACCGGTAAATCCTTTGAAAATTCAATGACCGCTATCTCATATGCGTCCTCACGCAAGCTGCATCATCCACTTCTCATTCGATGATCACACCTCATCCACTTCTCATTCGATGATCACACCTCATCCAGCCGGCATCAATCTCATTCAGCCGGCATTAATTTCTTGTCACTCGAGATCCACCCATCGTACAATCAGCATCACACACTTCTCTTTTCAAATCGTCACACAACATTGATCGCGGTAATCAACACAAACACGACCCTCATCACTTCAAAGAAGTATGAACGCCTAAGTAGGGTCCAAGTCAGCCAAGATCTTTCTCTTTCGATCGGATGAAACCTTTCAAAGTTTATGAAAAGTCATCTCGTACGTCACTCAAGATCGCTCTCATGCTCTCACCTCACCGTCTTTAGCTTTATATCCGTTCAATATTACCGAAGAAGTCTGTCATCATATCTTGGGTTAAAGTATGGTCGATTAAGTCGGGCAAAACTCTCTTCATTCGAGGATGGCTCTACCCTCGTATTTACGGGACTCTTACAAGCGATCACTGGCAGTCGAAGAAGCATCGGTCTTGAGCGCAGACCTCTTCGGATGACAGATCAAATACACTTCATTAAAGAAGCGTCTATCCTATCCGACTTGTTAGCGTAACGAGAGTAAGATAAGCCAGAACTTCTCGTTTCACAACTTTCTAGAGATCCTCCTCTAAACATAAACACCTAAAGGAGAAGAGGGTGATGACTGTAAAATAGGAAAGGATGATGACGGTGGAATAAGGAGAAGATGATGACGGCGGAGTAAGAAGAGACTGTTGGTGGCCTCTTCTTATCCGCATTCAAAAGCCGACCAGATGAAACCTTTCGAGATTCATGAAAGATCATCTCGTACTATAGGGAAAACCCTACCAGTTCTGAAAACTGTGAAACGAATGAAAGAAAGGTATATAAAGTCATCCTTTTTGGCCTGACTCCAGTCCCCAACACCTACTTCTCATTCCAATCATCATTCATTTGTCATTACCCACTTCTCATTCCAAATCCAAAGCCCCTCTTGTCATTCAAGATCCAATTGCCATCAAATCAGCATCACAAAATAATGATTATGGCACTCAAATGCAAACAAGCATGACATCACTTCGCAAGAAAAGGCTCACAAGTGCAAACGCCAGCATACAACCTAGCCAACCAAGATCTTCTTTGATGCTCCGGGCAAGACTTTAAAAAATTCAACGAACGCCATCTCATATGCGTCCTCACTCAACCGGCATCATCCAATCCTGATTCATAGATCACAGCTCATTCAAGCAGCATCATTCTCTTCTTGTTCGAAATCCACCAATCGTACAATCAGTATCATACACTTCTCCTATAAACGACTAAATGGGACCTAAATCAACCAAGTGTTTCCCTGATCAATTCAAGAAAATCTTCGAAAGATCAAGGAGAG